TCTCAAGGCCACAGGCACAGCCACCCTGCTGCGGCCGCCTGGCCACACCCTTGCCTGCCCCACAGCTCTGCTCACCCAATCTAACCTGTCCCAAGCTGGCTGCTTGTGCGGCCACCTGTGGAGGAGTCCCTGAGGCCCCATGGGTGGCAAGCGCAGCCACCACGTTGGCCCTGCACACACAGCTGGAGGCTGGAAGACCCACGTGGCCCCTCTAAAGTCCAGATCCAGGGACAAACAGCTTCTGGGTGGAAGCAGGCACATACAGTGAGAGCACAGCTGTGCTTTAACAAAAAACTGTATTTAGAGCCAGGCAGGGTGGTAGACCAGTAAGCCCAGCTACCGGAGGAGGCCACGGCAGGAAGAACACAAACTCCAGGCAACTGAGAGAGACCCTGCCCTAAAAAATAAATTAACTAAAGAGCTGGGATATAGCTAAGTGGTGGGATGTTTGCGCAGCAAGTACAAGGCCCCCAGTTTAACACCTATTGTCACACCCCCAAAAAATTATCTACCAAAGCAAGCAGTGGGCTCGGCATCGCCTTAAGCAATGGCCTGCCAGTGTCTGTTCTAGACTGAAAAAGCCACTCTCGTAGTAACCAAATCAGCACGGGGCGGCACCAGCCAGGACCCAGGACCACACCACACCACACAGCTGGGCCCTCGACCGGGTCAAAGGAGGCAAGAACACACAGGTGGGAAAGCTGCCTCCTCGACCTCCGCGCTGGGAAAGCGCGAGAAGGAGAGACCAGGTCTCCTCTCTCCCCCGCATAAAAATCAATTCCAGATGCGCCAAAGCCCCAGGTGGTGTGGGCCTGTGATCCCGGCACTCAGGTGGCTGAGGCAGGAGGATCGCTAAGTTGGAGACCAGCCTGGGCTACAAAGTGAGCTCAAGGCCAGCCTGAGCTGCAGAGCAAGACCTCATCTCGGAGAAAAAAAAAAAAAAAAGATTCGGCAAGACCTGAAGTTTGGAAGGGCTGGCCCTGCGCAGGACTCCAGTGGCGGGCAGCATCAGCTCCCGCGCTGCATCCACTCTGCTTCTGCACGGGCAGCGAGACCAGCAACCATGCAGAGGGCCACCGGAGGAGGCAGGCGCTGCCGGGCGCACCACAGAGGAGCAGCTCCTGGGACTATACGGCACTCAGACACGAAACGCCAACACTTCAGACCGCCCGGTCAGTCAGCGGGCCCACAAACCAACTGGTGCTGTTCCAAGCTCTGACACAGCAAGTCCAGGAGGAAAGGCTCCTCTTCCAGCCTTAGAAAATGCAAAGCCCACTGCACTGAGCCTCCGGCAAGGACACAGACCCACAGGCAAGGTGGAGGTCTATGCTGCTGCCGAAAACGCCATTAATTAGGAGGCCAGCATGGAAAGGAGTATGGAGCCTCCTCAGCAAACTAAGACTAGCCCGGTGAGAAGGTCCAGGCTTGCCATCCCCGTAAGCGAGGTGCTGTCCGCAGGAGGCTGAGGCAGAGGGATCCCTGAGCTCAAAGCCAGTTTGGGCGACACAGTGAGACCTTGTCTCATAAAGCAAAACAAATCAAATTAAAAAGCAAAAAAGTAAACCAAAATACCTACAAATACAACTCCAGTTTCATCCAGCTGCTGCTCCGACGCACACGCCAAAGCAGTTACGTGAGCACGCAGGGCGGCCTGCACACCCAGGCCTCCCAAGGCACGATTCACACAGCTGGGGCGGGCTGCGGCGCCGTGCCACAGAGGAGGCACCCAGTAGGATGTTAGTGCGGCGTGTGCACGGCACATGAGCCAGGCAACAAACTAAGCCAGGCTCAGGAAGACGAATCATGCCACGTCCCCTACACCTACTCCCTAGGAACAGCGGGAAGGTGGGGTGGGTGAGAGCAGGGGCGCAGGTGCCGAAGGGCAAGGCAGAGACGCGCACACGTGCAGCCCACTCGCGTGGCACAGACTCGCGCGAGGAGGGACTTGGCACATGCGGCTCCAGCCAGGAGGGAGAAAGGCGCCCACATCTGTCTTCAGAGGATCAAAGAATCAGCATCCCACCTACACAGGGCCTTTCCAAGGCAGTAACAAACCAGAAGAAATAGAGTGCCGCGACAGACAGGCGGAAGCCAGGCACAGCGATGCAGGCCTCGCGTCCCAACGCTCGGGAGCCTGAGTCAGGGGAATCCCTTGAGCTCAGAAGGCCAGACCACGCAGCGTGGGCAACCCGGTAAAAGCAGAGTCAAACAGAGAAAGGAGGGCCAGTCAAATAGCTCAGTGGATTAAAGTGCCTGCTGGGGCCAGGGAGATGGCTCAGTAGGATAAGCGCTTGACTGGCAAATGCAAGGATCTGAGTTCAATCCCTGGTTCCGCCCCAAAAAATAAATAAATGAAAAAAATAAAGAGACTGCAAGCAGGTGCAGAGGCCGGGGTTTGATCCCTGGGCCTGCCCTGTCGGCCGGTCCCACCCCCCGGGACACGCTGAAACAGCAACTGAGACTAGGTGTGGTGGCGCACACCTGTAATCCCAGCACTTGGGGCTGTAAACAGGAGAATCACTACTAGTCCAATCTAGTAGAGAGACCCTGAACACCCTGTAGACCCTTCCCTAAAAACTGCAAAAAACGGAAGGGGAGGGAGGGAGGGAGGGAGGGAGAGAGAGAGAGAGAGAGAGAGAGAGAGAGAGAGAGAGAGAGAGAGAGAAAGTAGAAGCACAAGCCACGGGATAGAGATGGACAACAGGTATTTCCAAGGTACATCTTTCATCTTAGCTACAAATCAAGGCTGGGCGTGGAGGTGCACATCTAACTCCAGCCCTCCGGAAGCTGCTGGACCACACACAAACAACATACTGTGGCAAAGTCAACAACAAAAACAAAAATGAAAAGCAAGGCTAGAGGCCGGGGCACAGCTCACTGGTAGAAGGCCTGCCACCCCTGACAGCAGCGGCCACGTGGGAGGTGTGTGCAGACCAACAGAAAATTTACTAAACTGGCAGTGCTTGGAAAGGCGCAGGCGCACTGAAGCCACCCGGAGGGGCCCACATGCTCCCCATCACCAGACCCCCGCACCCCGTGTTCACCCCAAGAATGCAGGCGCGGTGGTGCAGCCTGCCAGCCAGCACTTGGGAGGCTGATGCAGGAGGCCTGCAGGTCTCAGGCCGGCCCAGACAACTTAGCACGGCCTTGTCACAAAGCAGAAGGTTTTTAAAGGCCCAGGCCAGAGTTCAACACCAAGGCCCACTGCCCAATCCCCAGTATTCAAAAACAAACTCTTCTATTATGAGTTTTTTTTTTTGTGGTACTGAGGATTGAACTCAGGACCTTGCGCTTGCCAGGCAGGCGCTTATGCCCTTGAGCTACCTCCCCAACCCATATTGTCAATTTTGAAAAGAGAAAAAAAAATAACAAAACAAAACAAAAATATGCTCTGGTCCCATTCTTCTTTTAGGACCTCAAGCTTGCCAGGTCACTGGGTCACGTCTCCAGCTCTGGACCCGCTTTTCAAGCAGAGGGGTTGTCCAGCGGTCAGCCCGCCTGTGCTGACCTGGGCATAGCTCATGGTCTCCATGGTGCTGTCGTAGGCTGAGCGCAGGGAGGCGAAGTTGATCAGCACGTCCACCTCGGGGTGCTTCTTCATGGCATCCGCCATGTTTTTGAACACGGGGATCAGGATCTCCTTGTGGCCCCAGTAGAATTTTTGTTTGTGGTCCCCCCTGCGCAGCACAGGGCATAGGTCAGGGCCCACCTCCAGGCCGGGAGGACAAGGGCCTGGCCGCGAGCCGCACTGGCGGGCACTCACGTGAAGGGGTAGACCATGGCGGCCACTGAGGGCTCATCGCGGGAGCACACGTAGTCAAAGTCCAGCATGCCCTGCACAGCCCGGGTCTGCATGCCCCACACGATGGCCTTGGTATGGCGGCTGAAGAGGGTGGCACTCTTTCCTGGTGGGCAAAGACACAGTGGGTGCACCTGGGAGCCATGCCAGATGCCCTGGGGACCAGGACAGGGAAGGGGCACCTTGATCCCTCCAGGCCCTGCTTCCCGCATGGCACTGGTGCCTCAAGACAGAAAGGGGCAGTGAGGAGAGATTCAGGGAGCTCAGGGGCCCACAGGGGCCTCGTTTTTCTGGAAAGAGGCAGTGGAGAACAGGAGCGAGACCTGCTGGGCAGGTACACAGCGCCACGGGAGCAGAAGGGGCCCCATGCTGAGCCGGGCCCTCAGCATCCGCACCCTGCTCTGCATTGTGGGAAGCATGTCCAAGGTGCACTGAACTATCCTTTCCTTTCTTTGTGGTCCAGGAGACAGAACGCAGGGCCTCGAGCACGCCAGGCAAAGTACTCTACGACCCCAGTCCTTTTCATTTCTTATTGAAAGACAAAGTCTTATTACTAAGTTGCCTGAGGTGGCCTCGAACCTGTGATTCTGTGCCCCAGCTGGAATTACAGGCATTCACTGGTATGCCTGGCTTCGCAGTTCTGCTTTAAGTAACTGTATAAAAGGCGCTTCAGCCCTTCCGATTCTGCAGCCACAGCACAGCGCCCAGTGCTGTTTACCTCAGTCCCTCGAGGCAGACCTGCAGCCACAGGGGCCTGGACTCTGGTTCTAGGTCAGAGCCACTCCAGGAGACATGCGGCCTAGGCACAGGCCCTGGCCTGTTCGACCCTGCCCCTTCTACCCTCCTCCCTCGCAGAGGGAGGAAGAGAAGTGAGGGGCAAAAGACAGAGCAGAGGGAGCCGGCAGCACAGTGCTCGGCGAGGGACTCGAGGAGCGGCACAGGCAAGCACCCAGAGGACGCCATGTGCCACAAGGGCCTGCTGGGCCCTGGAGGGCCGCCTCAGTCCCTCCCGAGCCCTCCACAGAACAGCAGTGAGCAGCCCAGAAGTGCCGACACCTGGGCTACTGTCAGCTGGACCCACGGGTGGGCTAAGACGTGTGCTCAGCACAAGGGACACTCTAATCCACCGGGCATCCTCTGCTGCCCTAGGAGGCCTAAGCCCAGAGACACCGCGACTGTCACGACTTGGGAAGCAGCTGAGCTGGGGCCGCAGGAAGGGACTAAGCCAGGAGTCCTGCTGTCCTGGGAGTGCACACGGCACACACGCACACGTGCACCCACACGCGTGTCTGCAGAGGCCAAGACGCAGCCTGAGACCTGGCACAGAAGCAGGGCTGAGAGGCAGCTTGGCCACCAGCAGCAGAGGACCCCAAGAGGCCCTATCACCCCAGGCTGCTCCTCTGGCCTCTTGGCAAACCTTTGTCCCCTCTGCCCCTCCCAGAGCTCGGGACCCACTGGCACAGGGGCTTCCCGAGAACGCCCCTCGCCGTGTCGCCTGCACTTGGGGTTGTGTGTACATACACGTGCCCCCACCCGCCAAGGACCGGGGCCCCGTCCTTCTTGTCATCTCCCCCGCCCTGCTCTGGGTCCATGGGGACCTGGGGAGCTCCGGACAGGCGGGCAGAGTGGCACTACGGCCGCTCCTCCTCAGGTGCACTGACCAGGCCTGAGCAGGACACAGCAAGACCAGGACTTGGGGGCACAGCAATGAAGGCACAGCAGACACAGCGACGACACTGAGCGTGGGGTGAGGGGAGCAGGGCACGGGGACACAGCACAAGACAGCCTGAAACCCACTAGGGAGCCACGTGGGAGGTGGGCATCCTACCTTGTAGGGGTCTTGGGCTTGGGTCTGAATCTGTCAAAGAAAATGACCAAAGCCACTGAGTGACCTGCAAGGCCTTGGCAGAGAAGGGACGGGGGCAGGACAGGATGAGCCTCTGTGTCCTGCAGTGACGGGGCAGGCGCCGCTGGGCAGCACGTGGGCAGGAATGGGCTGGGAGCTAGGGCAGAGGCAGGATAGTCCCTCCTTGTCCCACAAGACTCAGCAGGGGCATCAGACAGAGCCTGCCCCCCAGACACTGGGCACAGCCGCTTCATCAACAAGGGGCACACAGCCAGGGTGGACGCCAGCTGCTCCCCAGATGGGCTCTCTGGAGGGCACAGCAGAGCGGGGACTCCCCACTTCCAGAGCCCCCTGAAGCCCTGGCCCCCGTATCACTACCAAGAGACCAGAACTGGAGCAGGGGGGTACACAGGGAGCCTGAGGAGGGCACTGGGAGGCCTGACCAGGCCGTCCACAGTCGGGCAGCACCCTGCACCCTGAGCCGCAAACCCTGAGCATGCTGCACAGCCAAGCCGGAGTCGCTGCCTACTGGGTGGGGAGAGGAAGAGGGGAAGGTGGGGCAGGGGCCACACCGAGGGCACCGGGACTCACCTTGCGGCACAGCTGGCTTGGCCTTCTTCGCAGGTGCTACCTCCTCAGCCCTGGACTCAGAGAAAGATGCCGTCCTGCTCGGGGCTGGAGTCTGGATGGCAGGGGACAGAGGGTAAGAGCCGGGTTATGGGTCCCCAAGGCCCGAGACGTCAGCTCACCAAGATGACCTGCAGCCCTGGCCCCACCGAGCTGCTCCAGAAGCACCGCCTGAACCTCCCAAACTGGGCCGACAGCGGGGGCTGAGCGGGAGGAACGCGACCTGGGCTCACGCCCAGCCCCAACAGCCGCCTCACACTCCGCCCTGGCTCTGTTCGTTCATTCCTGCGCTTTGTGGAGACAGGCCCAAGCTACCCCCAGCCTGCCGAGTGCTGGATTACAGCGCGTACCACCATGCCTGGCGGCCCAACCTAGCGTGCATTTTCCTTTCTCCCGGATACCACGACTGGAGCGCAGGATCTTGCACTTGTCAGGCAGGTGCTGTGCTAGCAAGCCGTACCTTCAGCCTTCAACTTTCACTTTACAGCCTGAGTGACTCTTTCCACCAGTCTGCGCCTCTACCAGCTCACGGGAGCGACCTTACACAGACCCAAGCAGCACGCAGGGCGGAGCATGGCGGATCGCGAAGCACCTACCGATGTGCTTCCGCTGGCGTTGAGCAGGAAGTTGGCGGTGTGGGCTGCCGTGGGGGGCTGGTTGGGGATGGGTCGGTGGCCGAGGGCCATGCCCACGATGGCCGTCATGTGAGTCTCTGTGCCGAAGACATGGATGGGGATGCCCGTAGTCTTCCCTGGAGGTAGGAGAAGCAGCAGTGACCCAGGATGCCTGGAGAGTCCCAGGCAGCCGAGCTGGATGAGGGGCTGGATGAGGCGCTCCGGCGCAGGCCTTGCGCCCAGGACAGGCTGGCTGTCAAAATCCCACACCCAACAACTGTCCCCAGGCCCCTGTGGACAAGAGGGACACAGCCCAGCAGGCAGTGAGGCAGAAGACACGGGCAAAGGCCAGGCCCGGGTGTGTGCAGGAGTGAGCGAGAGCCTGGCAGGCAGAGGGCAGGGAGGGCCTGAGGAGTGGCGGCAGGGGCTCGGAGGCCCCCGTGCCAGCTCCACACCCGCAGTCTGGAAAATGGCCTTTCCTTTCCTCCTACCAATGGGCTGCTTGGGTCAGCCCAAGGCCAGGAGGCAGCCCCAGACTCCGACTGCAGCCCCAGCATAGTTTAATTCAGCTGGCTTGGTTCTGCGGGTGACCTCAGGGTGACTGTGCTTGGAGCCTTGGTTGCTTCTTGGTGTTAACTCCTTGGGAACCCTGAGGCCACTCCAGATGCTGGGGGATGCCTCTCTCCTTGATCCATACCCCCTCCTGTGACATTAAGACACCAACCCGAAGAAGTGGGAGAAGTGGGGCCTGGACACGGAACAGGAAAGCTCGCTACCTTGAACTTCATGCCCAGCCCTATTTTTTTTTTTTTTTTTTTTTTTTTACTTATTTATTTGTGTGTGTGTGTGTGTGGCCAGCTCAGCCCACCAGGGGGTGAGGCTGGCTGGCATGTGGTGCTGGGGGACTGAACCGCCGTCCCTGTGCTTTAGCTTAGCTTGTTCTAGGTAGGTGCTTTAGACCACTGAGCCATCTCACCAGCCCCCCAGCCCTATTTAGGGTTCTTTTATTTTGTGCAGGTCTCACTATGCAGTGCAGACTTGTGATCCTCCTGTTTTCAGCCTCCCCGCACTGGGATTACAGGCATAGGCCACCTCACCTGGACTTGGTCACTGGTTCAGCACACTTGGCGATGGGGCTGGCGGGGCGTGTGGTTCCGGAGATTGAACCCCGACCCCTGCTCTTGCCTAAATAAGCGCTTAGTCTGCTATCTCGCAGGGCACCCAACCCTTTTTAGAATTTTTATCTTAGTTTGACACACAATCTCATGAAGTCAATAAACTGTCCAGCCTGGACTCGAACTAAGAATCCTCCTGCCCAGCAACTTCTGAGTAGCTGGGATCAGAAGCCTGAGTCACCATGGTTGAGGTCATTCCATCTTTCCCTTGATTAAAGTGCCAACTGTGATTAAAGCTTCCACAGCAGGAGAGCAAAAAGCAGCATGTGGCACCACTTCAAGGGACGCAGGGGTCTGATGCTTGGCAGACACCCCACGCCCTCCATCTGTCCCCCTGCAGCACCAAAGGCAGGCCTGCCCATGTGGAGCAACCCAGCAGCATGGTGGTACATGTCTGTCATCCCAGCACTCGGGAGGCTGAGACAGGAGGATCGCAGTCACAGGTGCCACTGTGGGGCCCTGCCTCTCCTGTGACCCATGCCACCGCGCTTGGGTCTCACTGCTGAATCTACTTCTCCAGGCCTGTCCTCAAACATCACCTCTGGGCCCCGAGCCTCTCTGTTTTGCCACTCTGACACTTCAGGCAGTGGCCACAACGCCTGGGCCCGCAGGACAGCCAGCACAGAGCAGCCAGGCACGGGTGGTTCTCCTTTCCGTACGTTACCAGGAACTGGACCCAGGGCTTTCACGCTGAGCTACATCCCCACCCCTTTTAATTTTCATTTCAGACGAGGTCCCGCTGTCTCACCGCGTACTCCCATCTGGCCCTGAACCTGTGCTCCTCCAGCCTCGGCCTCCCAGGATGCACGGAGGACAGGCGTGCACCCGCACTAGCTGTCTCCTAGAACACAGGCTGTTCCGTGACAGGCCCTCTGTCCCGCTATGGCGAAGAACACAGGCAGGAGACAAACACACATCCGGAAAGACAGCGACAGAGCTAGGCCTGCTACCGCAGTGCTCTGGGACGCCGAGGCACGAGGAGTACAAGTTTAAGTCAGCTTGGACCACTTAACAAGACCCTGACTAAAAAGAATAAAAAAGGGCCTGGGACGCAGCTGCATGCCTGCCAAGGCCCTGGGGACTCCATCCCCAGCACAGCCAAAACAGAGTGCAATAAAAGAGAGACAGGAGAGGGCAGCAGCGAGAGCAAGGAGGACGCGGACAGCAAGGCCGCGTGGCCCTGCGATGCCCGGCATGGTGAGGGCGGGGCCCGCCCCTGCTTACCAACTTCGCCCATCACCCGCAAGCCCTCCTGGTAGTTGGGGCCACCTCTCCGGACGAAGATGGTGACCTCATGCTCCTTCAGGGGACCCTGGTAATCCCGAATTGCTCTCACGATGCCCTGCAAGTACAAAGGGACAGTGGAGACACGTGACTAGGCCAGGCAGCCGCAGCCCACTCATTCACAGCACGGAGCTCAGAGCATCTACCAGCAGCAGCAGGCCCAGGTTGTGTAGTGGCAGCAGGGACAGCCAGGGACACACACGGTGGTGGGGCAGGGAGGGCAGAGGACAGCAGCTGGGCCTCATGGTGCAGGGCTGCATAATCAGCAGGGTCTGCTGACTTCACTCCTGTCCCATCTCTGGTCATTCTCAGATCTTAATATTGTTGGGGTGCAGGAGATCAACACTGGAGTCCTATGCAAGGGTTCTTAGAAGTATAGCTTTCTACAAGAAACTTAAGGACTGAGGCTGAGGCAGGAAGATCACAAGTTCAAAGTAAGACTGGCCAACTTAGCCAGACCCTGTTTCAAAATAAAACTTAAGAGGACAAGGATGTAGCTCAGCAGCACAGTGCCTGCCTCACAAGCATGAGGTTTGATTCCAGTATTAAAAAAATCCGAATAGGGGCCAAGAAGATGGCTCAGTGGGGAGACGGCTCAGTAGAATAAGCGCTTGCAAGGGCCTGAGTTCAATCCCCGGTTCCAAGCTGGGATGCAACTCAGTAGTGCAGTGTAGGCCTAGTGTGTGCAAGGCCCTGGGTTCAAGTTCTAGCACAGGAGTAAAACCAGAGCCATGGAGAAGCTCTGGCTTCAGAACTGCAGCCACATCAGGGCAGCCAGAGTCCAGTGATGGCAGGCCTAGAAGAGGCTGCGTCCCTGCACACGGGTCTCCAAGGCCAATTCTGACAGTTTCAGTACTTTATTTTTATTTTTAAAATTTATTTTGTGTGGGGCTGGAGAGATGGCTCAGTGGTCTAAGGCACCTACTTAGAACAAGCTTGGCAAAGCATCAGGGACCGCGGTTCAATCCCCCAGCACCACATGCCAGCCAGCCCCGCCCCCTGGTGGGCTGAGCTGGCCACACACACACACCACACTCTCTCTCTCTCTCTCTCTCTCTCGCTCTCTCTCAAATAAATAAAAATAAAAAAAATTTAAAAAAAAAATTTTATTTTTTGTGTGTGTGTGTGTGTGTGTGTGTGTGTGTGGCCAGCTCAGCCCACCAGGGGGCGGGGCCGGCTGGCATGTGGTGCTGGGGATTGAACCGCGGGCCCTGTGCTTTGCTAAGCTTGTTCTAAGTAGGTGCTTTAGACCACTGAGCCATCTCACCAGCCTCTTTATTTTTTTTTTGCAGAACCGGGGACTGAACTCAGGCCCTTGCGCTTGCCAGACAAGCGCTTATTCTTGTGAGCCATCTCCCCGGCCCTGCTTCAGTACTTTTAAAACACACGACGTGAATAAGGTCACTGAGTGTGACAGTATAGTGGCCACTGGCCATCTCGGGGGACAGTGAGCCTTGTTGGCTGCCATCAGGTTTTATTGCTAGTACTGAGGACTGTAGCCAGGTCCTGCACCCTCGCCTGCAACCCCAGCCCTTTTTACTTTCTGAGTCAGAGTATCAGTAAATTGCTAAGTTGCCCAGACTGGGCTGGACTCGCAGTCCTCCTGCCTCAGTCTCTCACATGCTGGGCTGACAGGCAGCCCCACCTCACTCGGCTCCCACTTTCCTTACAGCCCTGACCTGGTCCAGGATCTGGGCAGACAGGAGCCAGCAGGAAGCGCAGGAGCTGCAGGGGCTCAGACGCTGTGCCCTGCCGTCCTCCAGCAAAGGGCCGGGCTGTGGTGTAAAGGGCTGGGCATGCTGGGCATGCTGGGCATGTGGAGCACCCACTGTCAGGGGAACTCTGCTTTCCTCAGCATGGGCAGACCATGGCCCCGGGTGCAAGTGCTTCTGCCTAGTGGCACGGCCAGGATCTGGGGTTGCTTGATCTCAACAGCAAACAAAAAGCAAGAGAGGGAGACCATGTCACGCCCGTGTCCTGCATGCCTCGTACCTTGAAGGTGGCGGCCACATTGGTGAAGTTGGCAATGCTGCCGCCGATGATCAGGATCTTGCCTGCATGAGAGGAAAGGGAAAGGAAGGTTAGAGATATGCGCAGCAGCTGCACAGGCCAGCAGCAGGTGGCAGCCCTGAGGCGCAGGAGGGGCGGGCAGTGTCCCCAGGAACACATGGCCTACCGGCCTCTCTATTACCCACATGCCCGGTGGGCATCTCGGGCCCCAGTGGCCTGAGGGAGCCGCAGACACTGGGCAGGCTGGGGGCCGTCAGGGCGCAGGCCCACGCGAGTGGCATTGGCATAAATACTGACCCCTTCCTGCAAACAGGGCCACACCACACAGCACTCCAGGGGCCACAACAACAGACGCCACGTCTGTCCCTTGCAGTCAAGGGCCCCAGGGCCCCACGGGATGCAGCGGCCCAGGACCACAGCCTTGGTGACAGGGCAGGCAGGCGGCATGCATATCTGTCTGTGCCCACGCACACCCGCGCCTCACCGTCGGGGTGCTTCTCGCGCGTCATGAGCGACAGGATGGTCTTGGCATAGTCATAGGTCTGCTGCTCGCTGGGTGCGCCTGAGTACTCCCCGTAGTTGGCCAGCTCATTAACACCCCCCAGGTCACAGATGGTGTCACTGCCAAAGACAGCAAGTGGTCGGGGCCAGCTCCCACTGGGTGCCCAGGGCACACAGCCACGGGTGCCGTGCTGCTGGGCAAATGCTGCCGGTTACTGTACCGCAAAGGGTACAGGACATGACCCCAGGGGTCTATCAGCTACTAGTGTTCCAGCACTCAGAAGGCTGAGGCAGGAGGACCTCTACAAGTTCCAGGCCAGCCTGGGCTACGTAAGATCCTGTCTCAAAAACAAAACAAACAAACAAAACAAATCCAAAAGCTAGTATTTACGCAGGTGCCACGTGCCTAGGATGACACAATAGTGCAGCCACCAGGGCACCTGGCCACGAGAAGTGGGGAAACACACCAGGCAAATTTCACTCTTGGCTCACTTGCCGTAGCTGTTGCACTTCTGCATACCTATCCCTAAAAGAATCCTAACTCCTGGGACTGGGACGTGGCTCAGCGGCACAGCGCCTGCCTGGCAAGTGCAAGGTCCTGAGTCTGATTCCCAGTACCAAAAATTTTTTACAAAGAATTCTAACTCCAGCACTTGGGAGGCCCAGGCAGGAGAATCATGAATTTGAGACCAGCCTAGCCTCAAAACAAAAACAAAAATTCATGGTTCACTGGGGTACTCCTAAGATCCCTAAGATTCCCACCCTTGACAGACTGAGGCAGGAGAACCACAGCATCAAGGGCAGCCTGTGGAACCTGGAAACTGAGACTGTCCCAAAATAAAAAGCCATTTTAAAAGGCTGGGGGTAGCTCAGTGCAAGGGCCCTGGGTTCCATCTTCTGCACTGGAAAAACAATGATGAGAATTCACAAGAGCCAGCCTGTCCTGAAGCAGAGTCGCAGCTGTGCCACACAGTGTCCCGGTGCAGGTCCCAGCCACGGCCAGGCAGGCGCCAGGAGCCCCACCCGCAGCAGCCCCTGCAGTCACCTGTACACCACGGAGGCGCCACCCCCTGCCACCATGGTCCAGATCCTGCCCTTGGGGTTCAGCAAGGTCAGCTTCAGGCTGGCCCCGCTTTTGGCGTCGAGGTCTGCGATGTAGGCTTCCTGGGGATCAGATGCAACAGGTGGCCTTGGGGTTGCCCCTCCTGGACCCAGACCCCTTGTGCTGGGACAAAACCTGACATCCCTGAGCCCCAAACCATCCAGGCCACTATCCCTACTGTGGGCAACGACACAGCCTCGCGGTGTCCTCCAGCCCCACACTCCAGCCCTGCGTGCTGGACATAAGCACCCCTAAGCCCCACAGCCCCACAGCCCAGTAACCTCCCAACAGCTGCGGGAGCACTCCTCAGGACAAGGACCTGCAGGAAGAGCACTCTCTGCCAGCTGGCCTGCAGGGGCGCCCTGAAAGCACTATGGAGAAGCAGTAAATCAAACAGATCCAGCAGGAGCCCAGGAGGCTGATTGCTTGGCCTGGCTAAACGGCTCTTCAGAGCTGCTTGGCCCGCCCCCACCCCGCTGGGATTTTAAGCAAATTAAATGCTTCTTGCTGCTCCTGCCCCAGCCAAACACACAGCCTGGGAGGGGGCCGGAGGCTGTCTCGGATGAGTCACTCTGTCCTTGCAGGCCTGCCACCACCCTCCAGTCTGTGACCCGCCTAACCTCAGGGTAGGCCTCACGCCCAAATGGGGGAGGGAACTCAATGTCGCCCCATTTCACTTTGCAGATGTAGTCCGCAGTAGCGTCCACCTTGGCCGCCAAGTCAAGGACATGGACGCCATCTCTGGTCACAACTGCAAGACAAGCAGGGGCGTCAGATTTGGTCACTGCTAGAGGTGACTGGCAGAACCTCCACCAGATGCCCTAGACATCCCCATGGGGTCCCTCACGAGCCAAGGGACTTCCTAAGCTCAGCCAGAATCAAGTGCCCGCCAGGGACACAGCACAGCAAACGCAAGGCCATGCTGGGCGTGGAGGCGCACCCCTGTGATTACCGCATGGGGAGACTGAGGCAAGAAGAGTCCAAGCTCCAGCCCAGCTGAGTAACTTAGCTAGGCCTCGTCTCAAATTTTAGAAAGGGCTGGTGGTACAGTGCATCACCTAGGCTCAATTCCTAATGCCACAAAAGGGACAAAAATACAGAAAGCGATTCCTTGCCCCTGTCCTTTTCCTAATAGGACAGGAGATCTGTGTCAGTTACCATGACAAGTTTCAAACATCTTATAAAATCCAGAGCCAAGCTCGGTGACCTACACCTGTCACCTAGCACTTTGGAGCTAAGGCAGGAGAATGGCCACAAGATCAAGCCAGCCTAGGCTGGCAGTGAGACCCGATCTCAAAGTAAAGTAAGTACCAGTAAGATCAAATGAAATAGCATTCTACGCTCTTCCGCCTGATGCATCTAACCGCTTACATGCCCGCCCCCACACCCTGCCACTAAGCGTCTGCCAGAGCTGCAGCCCGCCAGAGAGCATTCGTCAGCGTGCCCGAAGCTGTGTTCACTTTCAGCACCAAAAATCAATTCCTAAAATACAAACTGGGCACAGTCGTACACGCCTGGAGTCCTAGCACTTGGAAGGCTGAGGCAGGAGGACTACCATGTGCTGGAGGCCAGCACAGTGGCCTACACAGTGAATTCAAACCCAGTGTGGACTACAGAGAGACCCCTCATCTAAAAAAAAAAAAAAAAAAAAAATGCTCCTAAGATAAAATAAAAGCCAGGCATGGTGGTCCACACCTGTAATCCCCATACTCAAGAGACCCAGGCAGGACTGAGGTCAGCTTGGGCTACACACTGAGACACCGTCTCAATACAAAACAGTAACATAATAAAGATTAAAAATAAGACAAGCTGGGCCAGGTAGACAGCTCAGCGACATAAGCACCTGCCTGGCAAGTACAAGGTCCTGAGTTCAATCCCTGGTACAAAATAAATAAATAAATAAGACAGGTTTATAGTCCCAGCACTCAGGAGGCTGAGGCAGGACTGCCGTGAGTTGGAGAAGAGCCTGGAGTACAGTGAGCTCAAGGCCAGCCTGGGCTGCAGAGCGAGACCCTGTCTCAGAAAGACAAAAAAGCCCCAAAACGTCAGAAGCACTTATTGGGCATGTGGGTGGCACAAACCCGGCCCCTCTGCCTGAACTCTGGGAGAGTGGCTGGGCCTCAGGCCAGGAAGGGAAAAGCCGTGGGCGCCGCACCTTCCAGCAGGTCTGGCCCTGGCCCCTGGCTGGCTGCCGTCTCCCCTTCTGGGCCATTTGGCTAATTAAATCAGCACTCAGCACTCGGCCATCTGCACTGCAGCCCAAGCCCCCTTCCCTCCCTGGCCTGGACTTTGCCCGGGCAGGGCCTTGCCAGGACCAGCAGCGGCTGCGACCCTCCCACGCCAGCTGCCAACTTCACAGCCAAGGCACCAGGGCCAAGGACTGACCAGGCTGGCAGGGGATTCTGGGCACAGGAGGGCCACCTGGGGCTGGCAGCGGGACACGGGCACGGGCCCTGGGAACCCACGTGCCAACACCCGGTCTCTCAAGGCCCAGGGCAGCAGTCAGGCGAGGCTGTGACAAGGACCCCTTCCCCACTGCAGAGTGATGCTGTTACCCAGGGGGTTGATCTCGAGGTAGGTGAAATACAGGTCCTCGTAGAAGTTGAAGAGGCCGGAGATGAAGCTGGCCAGGACCCTGGGGGACAGGGAAAGGGGCTGTCACCCAGGGGGCAGCTTGGGCCTGACAACCCACCTGAAGCCACCTGTCTCTCCACAGCATGACAGCCGCACCGCCCCCTACTGGCCCCCACTGCCCGGACGTCACTCTTGGCCACTGAGGCGGAACAGAGCTGCCAGGCATGGGGCGGAAGCGGCAGACACCAGGGACTCGGGCAGCCGCAGCGCATACTGATGCCGGCCCTGCCACTGCCCTCCACCGCACTGTCACTCAACTCTTTCTTGTCCTCAGGCACATGGACCAGCAGGTGTTTCTTGATGTCCTCGGTGCACAGCTTCTCATCCACGCCGACCAGCAGCTTCTGGGCTTTGGCATCCACATCACCCACGTCGACGCCTCCCTCATGGTGGAAGAGGACATAGTCCCCCTCGCGGGCGGCGTAGATGCACACATAGAACTCCTCCGCCTGGCGCAGGCCACAGGCCATGAGGGCACTGAGACAAGCGCCCACCTGGCAGCCCACCTTTCCCTTTGGGGAGCGGAGACAGGGCCCCATCTGGGGAGAATCCTGCCTCTAGGCCTCTCTGTCCCACACCGGACAGCCCCTGTCGCCTGCCCTAACTGCCGGAGCCCTGGGGCAGCTTCAAGGCCTGGTGCCCTGGCCTCCCCTCTCAGTAAGGAACAGACGTACCTGAGTGTGCGGCACGAAGGGCTCGATCAGGAAGTTCTTGAGGATACCCCTGGCCTTGCCCACCTAGGGGGAACGCGGGGGGGCTCAGCTTACACAGATGGCACCTCTCCTTGGAGAAGAGGGGGCACAAACACCACCACCCACACACTGGGCCCAGCTTCCAGAAGCAGAACAAGGGGCCAGAGATCCCTAAGCTCAAAACGCCCTCAGGAGAGCACAGCATGGTGGCGCACACCTGCCACCCCAACACTCAGGAGGCTGAGACAGGAGGTCTGCCTTGAATTCAATGCCAGCCTGGACCCCACAGCCAGACCCTGTCTCAAAAATAAACAAACAGGGCACAGGATCATAAGCCGTTTCCTGCCCAGCCAGGCCATGAATCATCCCGGAGCTCGTGCAGAGGTGCTGTGCAGGCGGAGGCGCTCTGCTCATCTTTCCTGGGGTGGGCACGGAGCCAGCCAAGAAGCCCAAGCCCTCTGGGGAGGCTTCAGCTCACGGGCCCAGGCGGCCTGCAGCACTAATCAGGCTGAGTGCAGGGCTGGCAGCAGCAGAGGCCAGCCAGCCCTCGTCCCCGCACGACCCCCAGCAGGCTGTGCGTCACCGCTGAGTCGGGGACCAGACAGCGATCTGTCAGAGGCAATGAGCTCAGCTGCCACCACCGCCAGCCAGCCAGCCAGCCAGCCAGCCATCCCTAAGTCCCTCAGAGGCCAGCAGAAAAAGTGCACGGGGGCCGCCTGGGGACACCATGCAGCCACGGCCCATCACCCTCTACTTGGAGCCTGGGGACACGCAGAGCAGAACTCTGTCCCCAGACCCACACAATTCCAAGGGCTGCTTTAATTTAGCAGTAAGAGATCCACCCACAAGGGCAGGAAGCAGGACTTGAACAGAAAGAGAGCTTGGGTCAGGCATAGGGCGCAGGCTGCGAGCCCGCCCCTCCGGGTTGGTGGCCAGCCTGGCCACTGGAGAAGACTTTTAATTCAAAATGAAAGCTAAAAGGGGTTCAGGTGCTGCTCGGTGGCACAGCACCCACCAAGCAGGCGCCGGGCCGTGCGCCCAACCCCCAGTGCCTCCACCACAAACCCCCCCCATGTGAGGGAGGCCCGAAAGGGGCATATCTCCACTGAGCTATATCCCGCCTTAGCGCCTGGTGTGCACATCAAGCAAGCCACTGTGACCTTTCTCAGAATCTGGCAAGAAAGAAGCTCCAGGGCAGGTGTGGTGGTGCACACCTGTAATCCCATGGAGGCTGAGGCAGAAAGATGCCTACGATCCAAGGCCAGCCTGAGCTAGGTAGTGAGATCCTGTCTCAAAAAGACAAAAATAGAGGCTGTAAATAGGTGGAACACTATGAGTCCAATCTAGTAGTGAGACCCTTAACACCCAGTAGACCCTTCCCTAAAACAAAAAAAAAAAAAAAACTTACGTAAAAAGACAGAAATAAATATCTAAACAAGCTGGAGAGCTAGCATAGTGGTTTATGCAACAGGCTCTACAGCGCGATCTCGCAGGTTTGAGCCCCCGCCCTGCCTTGGGGCCGGGGAGATGGCTCAGTGGAATAAGTGCTTCCCTGGCAAGTGCAAGGGCCTGAGTTCAATTCCCGGTTCCACCAAAAAAACAAAGCAGCAGAGCTCCTAGGAGCCCTGTCCCATGGTGCCGGCACCAGGGACGCCACCATGTCTGCTCTCAGCAGTCACCACGGTCTGGGACTCACTGGGAGAAAATGCTGTCACAGGCCAAGCCACAGCCCTGCGAATCTGGAGGTGGCCTCGGTGTCTGTCCCAGCACCCGCCCACACCGCCCCTGCGCCCACTCACGGTGGCTTCCTGTCCCAGCCTTGGCTTCAGCCAGGATTTGACTCCGTCGAGACTGAGGTTGACACCAACCAGGCCCAGCTTCCCCCGCCGCTTGATCAGTTGGTCAGGCTTGACCACCAGGCTCTGTGGGGAAAGGAGTTTGCGCTTCTGAGGGCCTAGGGGCGCACCCCTCACCCACCCTGCTGGACCCCTCCCTGCAACCCCGCAAACAGACCAGCCTTGAGCCCAAAGTGAGGAAAGACACAAGAGCCGGGTGACAGAGGACAAGGAGGAGCCGGCTGCCAACCACATCACTGTCTGAACCTTCACACACAGGCCCAGCTGGCATTCCCCAGTTACAGGCCAGGAACCCCAGTGCCCCCACGGGGCTGCCTCACCATGGGCCCTGCACTCTTCCCAAACAACAAGGTGGCCCTGCCCCTGCCCAGACAGACAGAGCTTGAGTACCCCTATGGCCACCTAATGCCAGGAGGTGCGCCAAATGCCCTCCAACTGCTGACCCTGGCTGCTGACCCTCACATCCGCAGGGCGGCCCGACTCATGGAGACCTCAGAGGCGTCAGGATCCAGAGGCACGGTTAAGGAGCAGTCGAGTTTGAGGCTGGGCCCCAGTGCCCGGGACAGGGGGCTGGGGAACCCCAGACCCTGCTCAGGCCACGCAGCCCCCTGCCAGGGCAGACTCTGAAAACTCCTGGCCCATCCCAGGGTCCAAGGGCGGCAGAGCTCACCTGGCTCAGCAGCCACGGATGGTCCTGTAGCAGGCGGGCCCAGTCCGTGTCAGGGCTGACCCGGGCATACTGGAAGCGGTTCTGGATGGCCGAGGTGGTGCAGATGTACTTGTAGAGGAGCTCTTTGCCCGTCTGCTCTGAAATGGCCTTGGCGGACATGGCTACAGAGGGACCTCTGCTCCCTGCAAGAGAGGCACTATCAGTGGAGACTCGATGTGCACAGGGACAGGAATGAGGTAGCTGGAAGCCCCCGCCCCCAGCAGCCGAGGAGCAACACACTGGGTCTGGACTTCTCTCTGGAGGGCAAAAGGGCTGCCCTGCAGGAAAAAGAGTGCCTCCCCCCCGCCCACATGGCACGGCAGCACTGACAAGGGCTCCCAATTCCTCAACCTGGCCTTGCCTCCCCACACCCAACAAACATACACCCCACCAGGTCCCAGCCAGGCTAGCAAGGTCGCTGAGCCTCCCACTGGGGACGGTGCGAATGGCCCCACCTCACCCAATCCCAAAGCTAACCTCGTCCTGCTGGCCTAACTCCCCTTGACAAGCGGGAGTCCAGAGTGAGGCACTCTAGACTCCTACACTGAGCACAGAGCTGACGACATGGCTGGGCAGCAGACTGTGACCTCCACACATCCCACCGCCCTATGAGTCAGCCATTGCTGGCTCAGAGCAGAACAGAACCTTCTCTGGGGACCACCCAGCCCCCATCACTTCAAAACAAGCAGCACAACCAGCCTCCTGGTCACATATGGACAGCCTGGGGTACAGCTGGGGCAGAGCACTTGCCCAGCAAGCACCAGGTCTGGGTTGGGTCCCCACTACTGCAGGTGGGCTCGCACCAGCCAAAGGGCACTGAGTCCCAACCATCCCTTAATGAACACCTCAGAGGGACTCAGACCAGCACCCCAAGAAGCCTACTCATCAACAGGACCGTAGCCCCAACACTTACCCAAGGCCCCCTATCCTGCCAAGGACCATGACTATGTGAAGGGCATGTCAGTTCCCTGTCCTCCCCCACCCAACAGGCCACTGTGAGGAACTGGGGGGCTGACAGAAAACCAAACCCTTCCAGCCCAAGAGCTTGGCTAGACCACGCCCATCACTCAACCTCTGAGACCCCGGAACAGAGGCTGTTAAAATGCGGGGCAGAGGGTCAGGTTTGCATAAAAGCAGTAGCGAAGCCAGGCATGGTGGCGCACACCTGTAGTCCCAGCACCGGAGAGGCTGAGGCAGGAGGAACACGGACAGTCAGAGGCCAGCCTGGACTCCAAAATGGGTTCAAGCTAGCCTGAACTGCATCATGAGACCCTGTCTCAAAAAGAATTAAATAAGTAAAGACCAAAAAAAAACAGCAGCTGCATGCAGGGCCAGATGAGCACATGCCTAGGAGGCTGCCCTGAGGCTGGCCCTCGAGCTGCCTGCCACTCCACGGGGTTGCAAGTCCAGGATGGAAGGGGGGGAAGGGGCTCAGGAAGAGCACCCCCACCCTGCCCTGCTCATCTCCATCAGGCCCAGAGGAGCCACCGCCCCACCACCCCACTCCCCCACCCCACCCACTCCAGTGCCTTTCCCAACCTTCTTGACTCAGACCAGAAAAACTGGTCCTGAAATCAAATGGGTGCACCCCCACCCCTTCAAAGCAGAGGGCAGAGCAAGCAGAGAGGAGGGGGCAGGAGTGGCAAGACGGGAAGCCCCCAGCCCCTGCTCTCCAGCAGGCGGGACCTACTGGGCAACCCAACCTTCTGCAGCTAACCATCACAATTTCCCAAGCCCCAGAGCAAATCGCAGACCCAACAGCCCACCTCCACAGGGTCTCTGGAGAGAAGAGGGCAGGGACTGACCACTGTGGCACCGGACAGAGAGCTGCAATTTAACAAGACAAGGTTTTGCCTCGAGTGCTCGGATGGGGAGGCTGCTGCTAAAGGGCCGCAGAGGAGAAGACGGATGCCCGGCTCTGTACATTCACTAAGACAGCGGCTCACTAACCAGGCAGGGACCCGAGCCAGGGAGGGGGCCCTGGGAGGCAGAGGTAACCTCCAGGGCTCCTGGAGAGCCTCACTTCTCCCAGCTCCGTTTGGTCTCACACGCTAGAGCGAGATGAAAATGTGGGCACCACGGCCAGACGCGAGTATTTACGCCTAGAGCAACAGGTCACAGTATACACCAACTTGGGCTTGGGGACCCCCCAATTCTGAGGCTTCCCCCCCGGAAGTTTCCTTGGACCCCAAGACTGTCATCTGGTAACAGGCAAATGCGTGAAGGTGAGAAGTCAGCGTGGGGAACTGGGCCGTGTGTGAGCGCTCTCTGGGAGGGAGCGTGGAGATGAATGGGGCGCTTTCTGCAGACTGGGGTGACCCGGGAAGGAGTTCACCCAGCAGCCCTAAGGCCGGCAGCAGCTGAACGAAAGGAGCCCGGTGCGCCAGGCAGGCACGGTTGGGACAGGGCCATGGGCAGCCGAGGAATGGCCAGGTGCTAACGGGGCCTCTCTCTCCCCTAGAAGGACAGCTAGGATCTGTAGGGTCGGGGCTCTCTAGGAAGCCAGACCATCCCTGGAGTAGAGGGGCAGAATTACTCCGGCGCTCTATGCGCGCGGTGTCAGAGGGATGGAGACACCGTCCAGGGTCTGGGGCTCTGCCCTCACCTTCCCTCCGCAGCACTTTCGCGAGCCAAGGGGTGCGAAGCCCCCTCTGGTCTACCGCTGGCGCCCAGCACACGGTTCCCAGAGCCGAGCGTTAAGACGGCAAAGTTGAGGCGTGGACAGTAGGGCCGAGCGGGCAGGCGGCCGGGCGGACAAGGGTCGGGTGAGCCCCGCTGCCCCCCAGCAGACCCGGGCAAGCGGGCAGGGGCGGCGCCGCCAAGGCTGGCGAGGATGGCAGCGCGGGCAGCAGCACCCTCCGCCCCCCACGACGTGGCCGCATCCGGACTCCGGGGCGGCTGGGAGGCACGAGGGCCGCACCCCGCCACTTGGCGCTCCGAAAAGGGGGGTCCCCAGCCCAAGGCCTCCACACCCCGGCCACTCCCCACCCCGCCGCGGAGCTCCACATGCTCACAGGCCCAGGGCTGGGCCTGGAGCGGCCGGGTGACCAGCGAGGTGGCCTCGAGGGCAAAGAGCGGCGGCGGCGGCCCGCGAGACCCCCGGGAGACGGCCACGAGGACCACGCGGCTCGGGTCGGGTCCCCAAACTTCGGGCAGGTGCAGCGGCGCGCACCACACGGTTCCCGGCGGGAAAGGGAGGCAGGAGCTCCGGGACGGGGCTCGCCCACCCGCTGCGGACGGCCCTGACACTCACGGCTCAGCGACGCTGCACTCCCGAACGCTCCACCCGCGCCCGCGCTCCCGCCGCCCGCGGCCGCCCAGGATCCGGCTTTTGTCCGGGTCCGGGGCGCCCCGCCCCGCCCGCATCGGCTCACGGCTGGCCCAGCGCCGCGATTGGCCACACGTGATTCCTAGCCTGAGCTCTGGGGCTGCTCCCCATTGGCTGCCGCCCCGACCCCATCCTCCGAGACCGGCTCCCGCGGGCTGCTGGGACTTGTAGTCTGATAGTCTCGCGGCGTCCGGCGGTGGGCGGGGCCTCGAGTGGGGAGATGGGCGGGGCTGCCCCGAGCAGGGCCTTCGCGGCCGGTTGCGGTGGCCTGATCGTTGGGGGCTGGGCCGCCCGCCGCGGGATGGGGTCGCGTATCGAGGGGTCCTGTCCGCGAGGCCTCCGTGCTGCTTGGGGGGACCTGGCCGCCCCTTCCTCCCTCCCACGAGCTAAAGGAGACGTCCGCGGCCTTGCGCTTGTACTTGGCCTTACAACACCCAGCGGGTGACACCCGCTTTTTTTTTTAAGGTCCTTGGAGAATTGAACCCAAGGCCTGCTCAAGAGATATATCCTCTGGCCTGTTTATTTTGTATTTTGAAACAAAATGTCGCTAATTATTGAATTGACCAAGTGGGGCTCAAACCTGCGACTCCAAGATCAGGAGGTGAAACAGCGTGAGCGGAGGGGCTGGGGGACAGCCTGTCAGCACCGCTTGCCCGGAGGCTCAGGGCGGAGCTGCGGGTTCCAGCGCGGCTGGGCCTCCTGCAGCCCACCGCCGAGCCCCACCGCAGCCTTCTGTCCAGCTCCCTGCAGAAAGATAATCCCATTCTGAGCCCAGGCTGGGGCGCCCAGGCCCTCAAAACAGGTTGCCAGCCCGCCAGGAATCAGCAAACCTCAGCTCGGGGCTGGAGCCAGAGCCAGAGCCAGAGCCACGCGGGAACCCACAGGTGGTGGAGTCAGCCCAGTGTCGGGAGCAGCAGCTGGAGCCTGCCAAGCACTCCCGGCACACGTGCCAGGCCACGGCCTTGAGACACCCTTGTGGACAGAGCTGTCCCCACATGCCACTTTCTGGTGTCTTCCATCTCATTCAGCCTTTACAGAGAGCAGCTCCTGCAGGGCTTGGTGGCCCACACTTGTCATCCAAGAGGCTGAGACAGGAGGATTCTCATGACTTTTCATGAGTACTGTGGGCCAGCCTGGATTATACAAAACATGTTACCACCCTCCGTCTGAAAAAAAAGACAAACGACAGTTCCTTACTTGTTCTCCTCCTTGCTACTGAAATGGGGGGTTGTCCCTGGTGAGCTCGGCTCCCACTGGATGGGGATTATGCCCCATGCAGCACAGTCTTGCTGGTAAGACAGCGCCCCATGGAGGCCTCAGTGTGGCTCTGGGAAAGAGTGCTACAGGGTCCTCATGGGCCAGGATGACAAGAGAGTCAGTGATCCCGCTGGTGAGAAGGTACACTCCTGAGGACACAGCCATCAGGTGGAAAACAAGCTGTCCCTGCGTCACCACAGGCCAGGCAGGAAAGCGGTGAGTGTGAGAGGCCTTTGCTCTTTAGCCCAGCGACAATAGCTTTTTTTTTTTTTTTTTTTTAAGGCACGGTCTCACTGTGTAGCCAAGGCTGGCCTCCAATTCCTTGCAGTTTTCCTGCCTCAGCCTCCCTGGTGTGAGATGCGAGATGGCAGGGTGCACCAACCTGCTTCATGGCAGTTGCATGTTTTTTAACACAATTTTTTTTTTTTTTTTTTTTTTTTTTTTTTTAGCGGAACCAGGGATTGAACTCAGGTCCTTGTGCTCCTCAGGCAAGTGCTTATTCTACTGAGCCATCTCCCTGGCCCTTAACACACTGTTCTGCAGATGTGCTCACACGGTGCTGACGCCAAAGGTCTCAGTACTTTGGGCACTTGGAATATTACGCAGCACGTGCTAGGTGAACACTGGCTGCCAAGTTGGTCCCCTGACAGATGTCCTGGTTTGACTGCTCTGGGGTGGGAGCAGGAGGAACTGACTGATGGAAGAGTGACACCCTGAGGTGCCCCAGCCCTCACCCTCACTCACCCCAGCCACCCCAGGGAGATGCCCAGTACCCATCAGCCCCTCAGAGCCTCCTTTGCCCTGGCTTCTTGCCACCCCGGTGTCGGCTCCTCACTTTGCATCAGGACTGGGCTGGAGGTCAGCTTCATGGTACAGCAGATAGAGGGGAAAGTGGGCTAAGTGTGGGGCCCACGCCACTCAGGAGGCTGATACAGGAGGATCACCGTTAGTTCAAGGCCAGCCCGGACTTCAGGGTGAGACCCTGTCTCAAAAAAAAGGTCAGCCAGGTGCAGTGGTACGCAGCTGTGATTCCAGCCCTGGGGAAGCTGAGGCAGGAAGCACCGCGTGTGGGAGGCCAGGCTAAGCTACAGACTAAGTTCAAGGCCAGCCGGAACAATGCAGCGAGACCCTGCCTCAACAACAACAGCAGCAAAAAGAAAACAAAAATGGCACTGGGAGGAAGATAGAGTAAGCGGAGAGGACGTGCAGACGTGAGGACGCGCTTTCTGAGTGTCTAGTCCTACGACACCTTTGCCCTCGATTTGCTTTCTGAGTGTCCAGTCCTACGACACCTTTGTCCTCGATTTGCTTTCTTGGTTGAGACTGCATCTTGCCAGGTCCTCCTGGCTGGCTTCTGACTCACAGCGATCCTCCTGCCTCGGCCTCCAGGTGCTGGGATGACAGGTGTGTGCCATCCCATCCAGCTCAGCCACCTCTGTCACCAGACAGCTGGAGACACAGAGGCTCGCTGACGACACTCATCACGGCCCACTGGGGTGGAGCCCCCCTCCCGGGAGCCAGGACCCCCTCTCCAGTCTGAGGGTGGCCACCACCCCCATGAAGCCGGGTCGGTCCCTGGACTGGGGTTTCCCTCTGCAGGCAACCTGCCCCTCTCCATGCCAGCCTGCAGAAGTCCCCCTCCCCATCTCTGCTCTCAAACCTGCCCCGCGCCCCAGGGTGCTCTTGTGCAATTCCCGCTTTGCAGGCGGTCCCTGCGTGCACACAGAACCCCGTGGCCAACCCACCAACCTCCTCCGCCTAATCGTGAGCTGCTTTATCATTTCCACTCATTATGTTTGTTCCTTTCTTTGTTTATTATTTCTGCCTCTTGTCTCGCCTTCTAGATTCTGGAATTAGAAATTCTCTCCAAGCCAGGTGAGAGCAGAGGTCACCAGGCCTGTCAGGCCAATGTGTCCACAAGTTCAGGAAGGTGCCTGAGCCCGAGACATGGGCCCTCAGGCTAGAAGCACATTCAAGGATGAGGAGCCCCCAAGAGCTGACTACCGGTGCCTCCATCCCAGGGCCTCAGAATCCCAGCCCACCGGGCCAGGTGCGGTGGCGCACACCTGTCATCCCAGCACTTGGGAGGCTGAGGCAGGAGGATCACCACAAGTTCAAGCCCAGCGTGCGCTACATAGCAACACCTGGTCTCAAAAAACAAAACAAACGAACAAAAACCCAAAGGTAAATGAGAAAGCGGCCAGGCGGAGCTGAGCAGATACAGCGCTCAATGCCCCAGTGGTTTCCCCTGCCCAGATACCCAGGGCCTGGGGCAGCCCAGCTCAGCTGGGGCCTGGTGCTGTGGCCTGAGGTCCTGCCTGTCACCAGCCTGCGTGCTTCCTGGTGAAACCGGAAGAGGGCGTGCAGCTCCACCAGCACCGCGTGCCTGCCAAGGAGCACCAGGCACTGGACGGCTGGTCACTGTGCTTTTTAAACCTGCTCTAGGGGAACTACCTGCTTGGGCCCCCCTCCTGTCCATCTCTCGGACAGGAGCTTGCTTTCCCTCAGTAACTATATTCTGCTCCTAACCTCCGTTTGTTCCTAAAATTCATTCTTCGGTTTTAGAGAACACGAGCTCGTGCAGCAGGCCGGGAGATCGTCTTTCCCTACGTCCTTTGGAGGTTAGGTCACCCGCCCAAGATCAGTTTTACTTCCCTGGATCATTTTGGAGTTTCCCACCGAGATCACTGGACTGAGGTATGAGTTTGCTTTTCTTTCATAAATTCTGGATTGGGACTTGCTTAGGTAACCAATTTTTATGCTTAAAAGTCCCTGAAGGGCCGGGGAGATGGCTCAGTAGAATAAGCGCTTCCTTGACAAGCGCAAGGGCCTGAGTTCAATCCCTGGTTCCGCGAAAAAAAAAAAAAGTCCCTGGAAAAAA